GGTTCGGCGAATCTTTGAAGTCCTTGTTCCAAGCAGCTTGAAACTCCGGGCCGATTGCAGCAATGTCTGCAGGAGATGGCCTGAACTTGCTGGAGGCATCGTGTCCGTTCCAGCCTAATTGCTCATCGTCTGATGCGATCATGGCTTCCACATCTCTACCGCGGTCATTGCGTAGCATGCCGTTAATTGTCTCGTTTTGTTCCAGATTTGTGCGGTAGACATATCCTACGAAGTGATGGTCTATCACACCGTCAGTGAAGTTTTACAACTGATTATGAAAGTTTGGGCTTGCCTTGGAAGTCGTTGCCTACCCCGGCAAGACTCTCAACAACAGTTACACCCGCCTTCTCAAGCACCGCGGGATCGCCAACCCCAGATCTCTCGAGCAGCAGTGGCGTTCCAAATGAACCGGCCGATGCAACAACAAGCCTTTTGGCCTTGACAATCTTTGTGCTGTTGTCCTTGCCATTCTGAGCAAATTTCGGGTTCGCACGGATTTCCACTCCAGCAGCGCGCTTTTCTTTTCCCTCAAATAATATTCGGAGAACCTGGGTCTCGACCAACACGTGTAGGTTCGGATAATCGTCGCTCTGCAACAGGGGGTATAGATACCGATGTGCCACATCCTGACGTCGGCCATCGTCAGGTGACACATATCGATACCACGGTCCTGAGCCATTATTAGAGTGTAGGCTTTGTAAGTCTTCGATTTCAGCGAATCCTGCATCGACTGCGCCGTCGATCCAGCCCCTCTCAGCTCGGGGTGCTTGGTGCGTTCCCTTTGATACATGGATCGGCCCATCATAGCCATGCGTCGACTCGTTGTTAGTGGCGCCGTGGTAAGTTTCGACCTGGATCAACTGTTAGCAGACAAAATTTCACCGCCACAGAAAAGGCCAGTTCACCGCCATGTTACCTTTTGAATGAACGGTAAGAGTTCTTGAGCACTCCATCCCGATGTGTTCCACGACTCAAAGTCATCCCACTGCCCTCTAGTATACACCATCCAGTTGATTGCGGACCCGCCACCTAGGGTTCCTCCAGTCTCGATGACAGGCTCGCGATTCGCAAGCTGTGGGGACTTGTTAGATTTCCAAAACAAGGCGGTGTCGGAATCAGGTAGAGTATTCCTCTCGAACAGCGCTGGGTATATAATGTTGGTCACGTTGCAACTGTCTTGGCCCTGCTCTATAACGAGTATTGAAAGGCCTGGGTTACTCTCGGCTAACCTCGAGGCAATGATACTTCCAGCGGTGCCACCTGTGTTTTGTGTGAGTTCTAGGTTCGAGCGAAAGAATTCATTAAGCCTTACCTCCAGCAATGACGACGTCTACTTCAGTCAGATCAATGGGGAGATCTGTGATAACCCCCGTAGAAATAGTTGCCAGTGTTAACACGCCCATTAAGGCACTCTTTAACTTCAAGCACCCCATACTGAGACCGAATGAGAACATGTAATACATGTCAAGGTGTAAGAAGAAACAGGGAATTCGAAGAATGAGAGAGCTACTGGCAGAGGCTGTGTACTTATGTTCATCGTCAGACTTGGCAATGCCCGACAGTCTGCTAGAATCCCACAGCGGCATGCTGACTACAAGATGGATTCGATGGAATCAATTGCACCATGACGGGACCGCCCAGTCGTGTAACATTGCAATGGCGGGGGAAGCATCCGACGTTGCATGGAGGATTCTTAATCACTTGGCAGATGTCTTCCCAATGCGTCTGCAGCTAGTTTCTGTCACTTGTATTCGGCATTGCGTGAGTGTACCCTGCCTAGAACCTACTGATCAAGTCTCTGGTTCAATGAGGGGAAACTCAGAAGGTATTTAAGATATCGTTCGCGATCGCCGGTCAGCGTAGTAATTAATGGACAAGGCGCCCCGCTATCGAACGAAAGAGTCGCCCACTTGAGTCCGAGTGGATGAACAGACGAATGGTATGTAGACAAGCGCATGGATTGGGTCCCTGTCAAGCTACGTCACGGTGGTAGCTCCGCCATCTTGTCCAGCCGAGGTAAGGAGTAAGACCCCAGTTCGCATACCCGAGAGGCGCTCTATTGATCTGCTTTATCTGCAATGAGCTGAGAGAAGACCATGTGAGAGCTAATCTAGTCGTCGATGCACGATAAAGGCCATCCAAACTTGGAACATATGTATCATAAGTAGAGCAACATTCATTCGAAGGGTTCTGGCAGTCCAACGACCGACAATATGTTTCTGATTCAAAAAGGATAATCAAGTTTTTCTTTGTATCATAGGGCATGTGGGTATGGGGTACTACACTCGTGATGAAGCAGGGCAGAGGATTGTGAACTGGATACTCCTAAAATACAATTGATGATCCTCTGGCAGGTTTGCCATGTCCTTGCAGTCTCAGAGTACTCTGCTAAAGGGCAATTTCTATCTTAGGTGGCAAAGACTGCAGCAACAATAATTTCAGTGATTACAACTACAGCACTGCTGCCAGCAGCCAGGCTTCCGTATCGCGCAAGATCCATCCACCACAGCCAAAGTCCAGACAAGAGAGCTACAATCTTCCACTGGTCACCCAATGCCCCATCAAGCCCGGAGCCCTGGAAACCAAACGTGAAGCTGCGGCCCGGATTCCATGAGCTGTTGTCTGCCATAAATGCCACAACCTCTTATCTACCGCTATTGGAATCTACCTGCCGCAACGATTTTTGATGGCCGGTGGTGGAGCTGGGATTAGATACTCGAACCAGTTTCCGATGGAGTGACTCTCCAAGCGCCTTGGCCTCGACGTGACTTGTTCTTCTCCACTCGAAGTGTTCCTCTTTTCCTCTAATAGTCATGCTGAATCCACAAAGGGACTCTCGGAATGCAGGTCGGTACGATTCCATCATGATGTTTGTCTTCAAGTTCTGGGTGGGTGAAAGAGAGGGTAGGATAACCTCGAGGAATCCACGGCCAAAGAATGCCCCAGCTTTTCCACGTGCAGTTATCGAAACTCCACTACTGTGAGCATCGCCATTAAACACCTTGAGATTGAAGGAGGAGGAGCACCATTGCATGTCGACAAGGATGGTGCATGATGTGTCGTAGTCCGGCGACATTGCTGTGTAGACTTTGTCCCGTCCGAGTCTGCCGTACGTGAGACGAATTGTTGGCGGAAGCTTTTGGACGGAGACTGAAGAGGTATCCGAATCGGATGCAGAGCCGTCGACTGTGGTTGCATGGTGGTCGGGGGCCTCTTCTGGATTCGTGACTGTTGAAGATTTGATTGCCGCATCGGATACAGGATGATTCTCCACATTGCTCTCAATGCGCAGGGCCCTAGCGATGTTTGTTTTGAAAAAAGTGGGATTAGGCGCGTTTGAGGACTTCGAAAATGTCGAACGCGGCAGGTTTTGTTGCAGGGGACAAATATATGGTCTGGAGCAAGAGAAGACGAAGTGTGTCCTATAGGTGTCGATATTGGGCAGACGAAGTCGATGTGGTAGGGCGGAGTGCGGCTGTTGGGAGACGAGGATGTCGGGATGTTGGAAGGTGAAGAATGGAAGGACAAGATTTGCGATGCGATTTAGCCAGGTGTCATTGCGCAGCACCCGGCAGGTGCAGATACTGTGAGATGTTCCTGAGAATACAGCTGCCTCCTTCTTTTTCTAGATAATGACGACGCAACGCCCCTGAAAGAAGGTGTTTCGACAAGAGAGGCAAGTGTAGCCAGGTTGGAAGGAAGGAGAGAATGATACTTCGGATCTGGCCCAAGCCGTGGACTAGCCGCTCTTGCCGCACAAGGCACCCCAACGAACATCAAGGCCATGGGTTTGTTCCTAAGACAGAACACTGTCAGTCGGCTAGCTCCACTGGTTGCTCTCGTCAAGAGAATTTTCTCTTATAGTAGGGAAACTTATCTCCACTAACGAGTATGAATTTCGCCGTTGCTGCAAGCTAGGCTACACGCCCCTAGGCATCTCCCACTTTCTCCTCAGACTTTTGGCCGTATACCACGTTGCTGAGAGGAGGATTAGTTACGTGCCCTTTTTCTTTTGTGAAAAGGACCTACTAATAGAACCAAGCATGAACCTTTCCACTCTTCAAATCACTGCGAACTCCAGCTAGCAGGCTAATCACCTCTTCTGCCGTCCAGCCAAGACCCCCACAGAACAGCTTCATAGAGAAACCCTCTAGTCCATCCAGCATCTGAATGAGGTTGCACATTCCGATGTCCTTCAAGTGAGGATCTTTTGCCCATGGACCAGCTGGAATCTTGTAGGGCTGATGGTGAACGTTGACCAAGCCAGTATCGTCCCTCACTAAACCTTCCAATTTCGGGCCAACTTCAGCATCTCGACCAAACTGTTTGCAGGCGTTTATGAAGAAGTTCATCCAACGCTCCAGGTCAGTACCCTCAAGAGACCCATCATCTGAGTTTAACAGGAGGCTCCAGTCTTGGAATTCAGCCCAACCGCCAGGGTTCAGGTTCCTGCGCAAGTCATTCGTTTTAGTCATCAGATTAACACCATGAAACCTTCTCCTTCTTCTGTTTTATCCTAGAAATACTCACTCGTAAACCCGCTTTACATAAGCCGGCCAGTCTGCCAAAGAACCGCTCAAGTAGCGACTAAAAATAAAGTCGTACTTTTGATCGTTCACCCATTCACTCTCAACGTCATCAATCTCAAATTTAACATTCGGTGGGACCCTATACAAAAGTCAGCTAACTGCTTTTGCTGTAATCGTATCTTGGGTTGTACCAGTCTGGTTGGATAGCACTGAGATCGTTGCCGAGGATCTACACTTTTGTTAGCGGTCGAGGAATTTCCTTTGGTGAGTTACATTACTCGTTTTTAGACATACCTCTGCGTTAGGAAACAAGTCACCCATCTCAATGGACCCTGAGATATTAGAATCAAGCCTTGACTTAGCAAAATGAACAATGACATACATATACCTGTCCCCGTTCCGACATCAAGGACACGGTGGGTCTTAGCCTCGTCAATCGGTGCTAGAAACAGCTTGTTACCAATCGCCTTTACTAGCAAGGTATGAACAATTTCCAATCGATCCATTTCGGTCTAGAGGAGGCATTAGCCTTGTCAACATCTTCAAACGGTAGCTAGCGCAGTAGGAAAACGGTTCGTAACTTATCATTGGGAAAGTTGTATGCTGAATGATTTAGTTAACAGGAAACGAGCATCAACACTGATATTAATGGGTAGTACTTGCCTCCGGCTCGGAACGCATGGTATCGTCGGCCATACTCGGTAGGACAGTCCACAACGGACGATGTCAACGATGCAGTATACGAGGAGCTGAAGAGTTAGAACACTCTCCGGCAATGTTGAATTGAAACAAAAAGAAGAGTGGAAAGACCAGCTTTGAGCTGCAGTGCGTACATTCTATCATCAATTGTTGATACATCATCCTGAGAGAAAAGATTAGGTTAGATAATGCAGTCTAAAGGCTACAGATTGAACTAGAGAGTACGAAAACTTACGCTTGCGCCATCATCGACTGCGGTCGGAGCTACAGGCGTAGTAGTCTTGATGGGATCCTGTCCTGCCGTTAAACTAGGAACCACACCTGTCGCGACCGACGGAGTTGCTGGCGATCCTGTCGACAACAGAGACTTGGGAACTGTAGTCGGCGAGCCTGCAGCCGACGTTGAAGGTGCGCCAGCCATCTTGGTCTGAATGCGCCTGAGGGCCAGTGATTGATTGAGTAGCAGCGTCGGCTCACAAGAAGATAGGAACTCTACACAGACCATTCTCAAAGTTTGGTCTAGGAACGACGTGGTTTAGTAGGAGTTTTGGACGCGGAAAAACCCATCACCTTGGCGATACAGTTTTCTTGCGATTGGTTGTTCCCTTCTGCAGGATGAATGCTCTGACGCGACACAAATGCAGGCTCCCCGGAAGACGCCATCTCCTTCCCAATCGGTTCCCATGCTGTGGTGATTGTTGGTAAGGGGTATAGAAAAGGATACGGCGGTTGTCTGCGATGTTGCTGTTTACATCGTACATTGCCTCCTCGCGCCACTTTTCAATCATTGCTTGGGAACCATAGGCAATCGAAGCTTTGTGTATGCCGCTCATGGTATGACGTGGTTTATCGGTAATCAAGCTGAATATGGTGGTTATAGATGCCAACATCGTATCGAAGAAAGTAGAGGTAGAGATTAACCCCATTGCAAGATGGAAACGGAGTAGATGTTGATAAGCAAGCACCAGAGTGAACGCAAATGTAACCAACAATAAAGCAGAAATCAATTAACACCCGTAAAGCGCAGGTTTACCGACCCACAGAGTCCGAATCCATTCTTGCCTTGGAATTGTGCCGCATTAAATATGATATGCGACAAAATCGCAAATTGTCCCACCGTGCAACATGCCGTCGTACCTTGCTTTCGACTGGGAGACGGAGTGCTAATCAGGCGAAAGCTTCAGTTGGTCTCAGTTCAAGGGATCAAAGATGCCATATTCAATAAGTCACCAAGTGAAAACAAGACTCTTCTTCAGCTCCGAACTGATGCAGGCTAACTTGTGTTTGCGTTTGTTTCTATTTCTCAAACTATCGCAATTATTCCAAGCACGCAGAAGAAGAGATTTAGATGAAGCCGTGACCTATAAAAGAGGCTATGGTTGAAAGTCTAGTCCGCGGGGCCTGCGTCCGGAAATCTTTTCTTTTTCACCTCTGAAACAATGTTAAGCCACATGTTGCGACTAGGATAACCGTCTAATATACCATCAATCACGGTATACCCATTGTTTTATCGAAATGCCTGAAAGAGAGCTTCTGTAATACCTTCGCTGCAGGATCCATTCTTTGTACCTTGTGAATCAGTGTTTTGGCCTAATGCTTAATTACGCTTTTGGTTTTAACAGACACCTGGCCCACTCTGTTGCCTTTCTCTCGCTGCAAATCGTTTCCAAGACGCCCTGTAAATTCATCAAGGTGCATTCCCAGGCTTTGTATCCTAGTTCTGAGAAATAACATCTCTCGTTGTGCTATCGTCACTCGTTATTTTATTTTTGATGCCCCTACTGGGCTCATTCGTCCTCGCTTGCATATTAGCATCATGTTAGAAATCATAATTAGAAGCTTCGTATCACTTCATGTTGACAATATTCATAACTATGAAGTATTCTGGTTCTATCATTGGTAAAGGATGTCCTATTTGCCCCGAGGCCAGTATGGAGACAGTGGCCATGCTATAGGCAAGTTAACGTGCAATTACACCCAGGAATTATGACCTTATCGGGACCGGCTAAGGCGGTATAACCCAAGAATTCTGTCAACTTTTCCCGGAGGCTCCTTGTTATCCTTTTGACTAGAGAAACGCGTCACACTGAGGCAACACGGCAATGGCGGCAGGCCGGTGGTGGGGCCGTATCTGGCCTAAGTTCCGAACGACCGAGATGTTTCCACTAATGGTGGATATTTGCCGGACGTTGTCCAGTATCTTAGGGATTCTACAAGTTCAGTGACCATCAGGGTTCTCCTTAGAAGAAGTATTAAAAAAGTCGAGACGATGTCCATTCTGGCATTGGGCTCAGTCTTTACCATAATTCACATGCCTTCTCAATTATACTTATTAACGGAGAAGACTGCAACAAAATGGCTTCTTTCCTCGGCCCTGTGGTGAATCTGACCGAAGTCAGCAAAGCAGATGTAATCTGCTACTACACCTTATCTGGCAACGACTACAACGGACACCTCGGTGCCCGCATCTCGTCCATCTTCGTTATACTCTTCGTTTCCACCGCTTTCACCATGTTCCCTATTGCGTCGAAGCTAGTCAAGACCTTAAGAGTTCCGCGTTTCGCATACACTTTTGCTCGCTACTTTGGCAGCGGCGTCATTTTGGCAACAGCCTTCATCCATCTCCTCGACCCAGCATACACTCAGATTGGCCCGCAAACATGCATCGGAGATTCTGGACATTGGGGTGACTACTCGTGGTGTGCTGCCATCATCCTTGTTTCGGTCCTTGGCATTTTCTCAATAGACCTCGCGGCTGAGGTTTACGTTGAACAGAAATATGGACAAAACAAGGACGGAAACTCCATAGAGATACTATTCACGGACACTTCAGTCAACCATTTCCAACAACCAGACGACAATCTGGTCTGCCAACAACAGAAGAAGTCCGTCAAGCAAAGCGACTTCATGAAGCCTCAGTCTCTTGAAACTGATAGTAGTCACTCTGGCGAACGTTCTTTTCGGCAGCAGATTGCTGCATTCCTGATTCTCGAGTTTGGCATCATTGTTCACTCAGTCATCATCGGTTTAAACCTCGGCGTCACAGGGTCTGAATTTGCCACACTTTACCCTGTCTTGGTATTCCACCAATCCTTTGAGGGTCTCGGAATCGGTGCCCGCATGTCATCGATCCCGTTCGGCAAACATACTTGGCTTCCATGGGTTTTGTGTGCCGCATATGGTCTCACGACTCCGGTTTCTATCGCTATCGGTCTGGGAGTACGGACGACATATGTACCTAACTCTAAGCAAGCTCTCATGGTGCAAGGAGTCCTGAACGCCATCTCCGCAGGTTTACTCATCTACAGCGCCTTAGTTGAGCTTTTGGCCCGCGACTTTCTGTTTGACTCGAACCGCAGTCGCAGACGCTCCCAAATCCTGTATATGTATTTCTGCATGGTTCTTGGTGCTGGAATTATGTCACTGATTGGGTTCTGGGCCTAGCTAAAGGGAATTGGGAATGCCATCAGTCAATTAGTTGTGGACTCTAGAGGATTTTGATGGAATCGTAACCAATTTATCAGGCAGTGCAGCAAGAGTTGCACTCAATTCCACGGAAATTGCGTTCAAAATTCACTTGAGGCCCACCTAGTGACGCTGCTTTGATGGCGAGGATGAGAGTGAGCTGACTTGCTGAATAGTGAGCCTTTTCCACTTAAGGTAATTAAAACGAGAAAGCATGCGACCGAGCCTAAGTTGTCGACAGTGTTGGAGTGGGGTGGTGGGGTGATCAAGATATAATAAACAGTACAGTGCCGTGTCAAAAGTCTGAAAACCCCCGCATCGGAAGTGCACCACCCACATCACCATCCCATCGGTTTTCGGACTTTTGACATACCACTGTAGTGTTTCCTACTAACGGGTAGCCAAGGATAGTATTTAATTGCGATACAACAAAAATTTGGACTTTCTGGAAGCTGAGTTACTCTGTAAGATACTATGCTAGAGGAGTAGCGGTCCTAACGGAAACTAGTGCGAAGAAACTCAACTACGTAGTGTCCTAATAGACAATATTAGAGTCAGTGTGTGGCAGTTGAACTAGAATTTTATAGCGAAGTAGAACAAGTTAAAGTGAATTCAATGTGTTCACAACAAGTCAATGGCACTGTCTATCCATTGAAACCAGTTTCGCTTGAGATATTCGGTGTAATGTCTGTATTGCAATACTCATTGTGTCTGAAGAGGACCACACATATTGTATCCACATCCCCTGCAACATTTTCTAAGTCCGTTGGGGTCACAACATCCGTAAGCTCGCAATACTTCGAGAGACTAGAATGTAAACTCCAGCTGTCACTCTATTTGGTTTCAATTTACGAACCGCAAGACTTGTATCAGTTGCTGGATGAAACACGTTTCCGCCGCAGCAAGTCTGGGTAAGAGCGTAGCTACGGAACCCAATGCTGCAACAGTCATAGCTGGAAGCGGCGAAAACCCTGCATAAAGATTAGCGTGACCGCATTCGGTTTTTTTTTTAAAAAAGAAATTAAGCTGCAAAGAGACCATATCCCGCGAACGAGACAAGAAACTGCATTTTGGTGTTGCTACAGTATGTAGGGTCTGGATGTTTGAGAGAAAGTCAAGCGCATGTAGTTGTGTTGAGCTACCAAAAGAAAATTAGAAAAAGTTTGGAAGTTGGAATAATGGCGTAAGTTGTTAGGGCAATATTTACTCATCAAGTTAGAATATCACAACTCGACATAGGGAAATGGCACCGTCACCTACATCAAACAACTTTCGAGATATGCTATATATGCCGCCCATTGATTGACAGACAGTATATAAATGTTCAATAGAACAACTAGTCAGTATAATGTCTGAAAAGAAAGCTAATCATCCTTTTTCACCTTCAACATGGTGGAATCTTTTTCCAAGAAGTCACACTGGTGGTAGCGCCCTCACCTAGATGCTGCCCCCGTCTTCCAAAATCCCCTCGCCAGACTCCTGGTCCCTCGACTCCAATCCACACATCATCACCATTTTAACTGCAACTGAATCAATCTTTTTATAATTATAGAGAGCATCCTATTTCTCGGAGGAGATTGATACTCAACGCTTAGGGCGTGATTGATGACTGCAGTAAGAACTGAAATGTGCAATAAGAATTTCAAATGTGTAATAACACTAGCTATAAGTACCCTTTGAACTTAAATTATATTATACTAGGCCTAAAATAAGAAGGTATATTATAATTATAGTTCTAGATTATAGAACTTTATGTTATTATATATTTACTATATATTTTAGTAAAAAGAGACTTTATATAGTATAAATTATTAGTTATTTTTTATTTTTTTATATAAATTCTTATTATATTTAAAACTTATATTAATATTATTATAGTTATTATTATATTTTAAAAATTACTTTTTTATTACTTATTATTATAATTAATTATTATAAATAATTTATTATAAAATTTAATTATTTTATTATAGTAGTTATATTTAGTATTATTATAGTAAAATATTAAGTTAATAAAAATAAAAATAAAAAAAAGGTTATTAATAATAGTAATATTATAATTATATATTAAATATATTAAAAGCTTTTTTTTAGTTTAAATTACTATTTTTTATACTTTTTTTATTTTAATAAATAGTAATTTTAAGTATTATTAAAATAGCTTATAAATAATATACTTTTATAGTTATTTTAAAACTTTTTTATTAAATAAAAAGTATTTATTTATTTATTTATTTTATTTTATAATAATAATTTTAGTTAATAAGCTATTATTTACTTTTTTTATATTAGTTAATTAATTATATTTTTAGTTTAAAATAAAGTTTTATTATATCTTATAAAACTTTATAAAGTATATATTATTCTTTATAAAAAAGCTAAAGTCTTAAGAAAAATTAAAAGTAATAAAAAACTAAGTAAATATTTTATTAGTTATATTAAAGTAGTTAATAGTATACTTATTAGTATATATATTCTTATTATTATTTAAGGAAAATAATATAATTAAAAAAGAATAGTTTTTTAAAATATTTTTATTATTATTTATTTTAATAATAGCTTTTTATTTATATTTATTAGAGCTAAAAGGTTAATTTATAATATTAATTTAATTAATTTTATAAATATTAAAGGGTTTAAAGTCTTTAAAGGCTAGTATTTTTTAAAGGATATAAGGTTTAATACTTAGAATAGTATTATTATTTTTTATTTAAAAATCTATTATTATTTATAAGATTTTAGGGATATAAATAAATTATTAGAAATAGCTTAAGAGTTATATAATTTTTAGTATAGTTATTTTTAAATAATTATTAAGTAGATATTTAGTTACTTAAAACAGAAATAAAAAATAATTATTTTTTTAGTTTTAGAGTATAGCTTAAATATATAAGTATAAATTATTTATATAATAATAGGCTTATATAACTTTTTATTTTATTATATTAAAGATAAAAGGTATAATAGTAATATAAAAAATTAGCTTAATATAAATAAAGTTAATAAAAGGGCTAATAGGTAGTATTTAGGTTAAAGTATAAGATAAATTTATAAAAAAATAGCTAAAGTAATATAGAAATAGTAGTAAGTATAAGAGAAGTAGGAATTATTATAATTAATTATTATAATTTATATTTTTTCTTTTTAAATATCTTTTATTATTTCTTTAATAAAATTAAAGTTATAAGCTTATATAGTTTTATAAGTTATACTAGAAACCTTCTTTTAAGAGGTTAGGTATACCTTAATAGGTAATTAAAGCTAAAGATAAAGTAGTAAAACCTCTTATAAAGGCTTAAAAGCCTTTATTATTAAGTAATTAAATCCTATAGTTATTTTTAAGTTAAAAGTAACTTTATTCTATATTTTTATAAGACTAAGAAAAATTTCCTTTTAAGAGAATAAAATAAAAGAGCCTTAAACTTATATTTATATTAGTAATTTATAGTAATTAGTTATAGTAATTAGTTTATCTTTTTAATTAACTACTTAATAGTTAGCTTAAAGTCCTAAGTTAAGTAATAATATTAAATAGTATAAAGGAAACTTTTATTTTATTAACTTATAATAAAGTAGTATTAAAGAGTAAATTATTTAAAAAATAATTAATTAGTAAAGTTTATTAATTATAAAATTTTAATTTTATTTATTTTTTTTTTAATAAAAATAAAAGATAATTTTTAAGAGCTTATAGTCTCTAGAAGTAGAGACCTTTTAATACTTAGTTAAGATTAATTAGAAAAGAGATTTCTTTTTTGTGAAGATATTTGTAGTAGCTAGTAGACTTTGATTAGGCTAAAGAAAGCCTGCTTTAGAAGCAACTTTAAGGTAAATAGAAGGTTAAACCTTTAGGTAATAAACCTTAGTAAAAAGCTAGTTAAGAGCTATATACTAATAGTTGGTTATATAGTGGTACTTTTAGTAGATAAGATTTTAGTTTTATTAGTGATTTGTAGTAATTTTTTATAGTAATTATTTACTTTTTTATGTTTAGTAATAAGTACTTATATTTTTTATTAAATATTAATGCTTTTAATAAAAAAAGAATTAACTTTAAAGTTATAATAATCTTTAAGATTAGTTAATTTTTTTTTTATTTACTTTTCTAAATTAAAAAAAAGAATTTTTTTTTAGTTATTATTATTATTATTATTTTAAATAACTTAATTATTATTATTAATTTAGATAAAGGCTTAGCTTTTAAAAAAAGCTTAATAAAGACTAAGTTATATAGTAATAATTCTTAAATAGTTATTTTTTATTTATTTATTTTTAAGGTTAAAAATAAGTATAAAATAAATAAAAAGAAAATTACTTATATTATAGTAGTAATATTATTAATTATTTTAGCTTTTATATTAGCTTTAATTAAAGCTATATTATTAATATATAGCTAGGATTTTTTAAGAATAGTTAGTTTATAATTTTTTTAGGTAATAAAGAACTTTTTAGTTTTTTTAAGCTCTTTTATTTTTTTTATTATTTCTTTAATATGCTTATAAGCTTTTTTAGTATATATATTCTTAAAGTAGCTATTATTAGCCTTCTACTTTATACTAATACTAGAGCTTAATAGATAGCCTAGAGAAATATTAATTAAGTTATTATAATTAATTATTATAAATAGATAAATATAAATAGACTTTATAAAGGCTAAGAGAAAAATATTTTTAATAGTAGATAAAAAACTAAATAAAAGTTAAAATACTTTTAGAATAAATAAAATAATTAGTTTTTTATTTTTAAATTAATTTTTTTTTAAAGTTATTATTATTATTATTAAAAAAAAAAAAATTAAAAAAAAAAAATTAAAAATAGGTTAAAAATAATAAGTAGAATAATTATAAATTATTTTATTTTTTATTAAATAGATTCTCTCTTCCTAAGAGAACCTGTTTATATAATTATACTTAGGTTAAAGTTAAGGTAAACCAAAGATATATTTTCTATAATTATCTTCTTAACTATAAGACTTAGCT